CTCCGCTCAGAGGAAGGGCCTGCTGGGAATAGTGTGCGAACAGTTTCCTGGCAACAGCGTCTTCCCTGCTCTGCCAGAGTCTGATGAGAAAGAGCGGGGAGGGGGCAGAATGGGAGAGAGAAGGAGTCCAGGGTAGCAGGAGGGATGGAGAGAGGAAGTGGGGAGGGAGGAGGGGGAAAGACCTCTGCACTGTAGTCTGACACTTGGCACTTGCTGGCATCTGAGGGCCACCAATTTCTGAACCAATGAGAGTCTAAGTGTAAAGCAAATGCATAGCCCTGCAAAGGGAAACAAAAGGGTTTGTTATACCATCTGGATCTCTCCTTGATTCTCCCAGTTAGGGATGTTGCCAGTAAGAGGACCGGGACTTCTGAGGAAGGAGATGCTGCCCACCAGGCCCTCTGTGAAGACTGAGAATTGGGCCCCTGGAATATTACCGTAACACAGAGATTCTGAATGGGGGTGGGGAAGGGGTGGAGCAAGATTGCCTCCTGGGGACATTTTGCCAGGTTTGGGGACATCTTTTTTAAAAGATTGTTTTGATGTGGCCCATTTTTAAAGTTTTTATTGAATTTGTTACAATATTGCTTCTGTTTGATGTTTTGGTTTTTTGGCTGGGAGGCATGTTGGGATCTTAGCTCCCCAACTAGGGATCAAACCCACACTCCCTGCCTTGAAAGGCCAAGCCTTAATCTCTGGACTGCCAGGGAGGCCCCTGGAGACATCTTTAGCTGTCACCACTTAGGGAGAGGTATGTGACGGGCACCTAATGGGTAGAGACCAGGGATGCTGCTAAAATTCCTATAATCCACAGGACAGCCCTGAGAACAAAGAACTGTCCAGCCCAAAATGTCATTTGTGCTAAGTTCGATCCCTGAGTTGGGAGGATCCCCTGGAGAAGGGAATGGCTAACCAATCCAGTATCCTGGCCTGGAGAATTCCATGGGCAGAGGAGCCTGCAGGCTACAGTCCATGGGGTCGCAAAGAGTCGGACACGACTGAGCAACTTTCTCTTTCACTTTCTCAACCTTGAAAAGTCATGTCCAATCTTTCCAACCCAGGAATCGAACCCAGGTCTCCTGCATTGCAGGCAGATTCTTTAACACCATGCCCTAAAGAGATTTAATGCTAAAGACTCCAGTGCCTCCTGCCCAGGGCCACCTACCTATGGTGGAGCCAAAAGGATGATAGAAATCATAGTCTTCCCTTGTTACAGGTGAGGGGTTTGAGGTTCAGAGAATGAAGGGGTTTGTCCAGGGACCCAGGTCTTAGATTGAGGTGATTAAGGGCCTTGGAGTAAGACAGAATGAGTATTAAATCCCAGTTCAGTTAGTTAACTTCTATGCAACTTGAGTGAATTACTTCACCTTTTGAAACCTTAATTCTCTCACTTACTAAATAGACCTCCTGTAATAACTCCCTCATAGAATAATTTTAAGAAATATGTGAGATATTGCATGTAAAGTGTTAACATAGCACAGGGCCTATAATAAATGACACCTTTAACTATGACCAGCAGAGATGAAACTAAAATCTTGGCTCCTATCTGCAAGTTCTATTCTCTAGGTCATTTTAATGAGTCCTGACCCATGACTAGCCATCAGTTCTGAGAAGCTTATAGTACAGTGGTTGTGACCCAGGTGGATTCCAAGTCCATTGCTGCCACTTTCAAGCTGATAAATTACTTAATCTATCACTAAGCCTCAGTTTTTCTCGTCTGTAAAATGGGATAATGCTATTAATTATACTGATTTATAGACTGATTGTGAGATTTAGAATGAAAACCCATATTAAATACTTTAGCTCAGAGTCTAGAATATTGTAAGGAATCAAGTTATAGCTAATGTTTATGACAGGTTATATTTTCCCCAAATGGCTGCTGCAATATCTCTCATTCAACATGTTCATCCTACAATGCAATAGTAATTCTCCCATCAAAAAGTGGGATCAGTTTTTTCGTGTATGTGGGTGGACATATGGTTATGGGGGGGAGTGACACTTTATGACTTCTGTGGCTGGTTCATAAAGGAATGATACAACTTCTTGCTTCTATTAAGATGTTCCCCGTGAAACCGAGCTTCCATGCTGTGAGGAAGCCCAAGTCACACTGTGGAGTACCCCCTTTGAAGAGGAACTGACACCACAAAATGGCCAGTCATATGAAGGGGCCACTCGCTGTAGCAGGGGAACCTCCTGTTCTAGTGAAGCTGATGCTAAATGGAGAGAAATGACTTGGCTCCACTGAACTGTGTTCAAATGGCAGATTCGTGAGCAAAATACATGATTGTTGTTGTTTAAACCACCAAGTTTGGGATGTCTTGTTAGTTAGCAATGGTAACTGGAGCAATATTATTTTTTATTAATCTCCAAAAAAGGAATTCTCCTCCTGCCCATGTCACCTCCTAAGCCTCCACATCAACACCAAGAAAAATACCAGATATCCTAGGAAATGCTGCTGCTCCTCCTCAGATCTCCTGATTCTTCTGGGTATTCAGAGGAGATGATTAAATGCCATTGGTTATGAATGTGATATGTAGATATTGAGGGGCTTGACGATTGATCTAGGGATATTTTCGACAGATATGTTTTGGGAGCAGAAGAATTCCAGGGCCTGAGAGGCTTCTTGAAGTTTGTGGATGAGGTTCCCCAAGACCACACACTCTGGTATCACGCTTTGCCTCCTTCTTCGTTGGTTTCTGCTATGAGTATGAGACAGGAAGACGCCTTCTTTTGTCCACTCCTCCAGGTCTCATTTATGGCTTCAGAGGATATGAGGTGATGATAGAGGACAGGATCTGATGAACTGAGCAGGGCTTTTGTCATTCTAAGGAAAACAAACTATTATACCTATGATGGTGTGTACTTGTGTCTGTGTGATGGAGGGTTGGAGGAGTGCCATTGAGATTAGAAGTTAAGGAACTTCCCTGCTCCTCTCCCTGGGCACAGGAGTTATCCAGAATCTCCTTTCTTTCACCCCAGTGCAAGTTTACCCAGTATGACCACTCAGAGCCCCTAGGACTCATTGACTGAAGATATCTTCTTGAGGGGTGGGCAACCAAGTGAGAACTCTAAGCTTAGCTGACCGAAACAAACTAGCCCTTTTGTGTTTCACCAGAAGGATGGAATAATGATGAGATCTCTGCTCCCTCTGCATGGGAACTCCACCAACACACTGGTGAAAATTACTCCATGCCTCTTGGGGCAAGTGTCCAAACCTGGGGTATCAGGTTAGGAAAAAGGCAAACAGTTACTTGCTGGTTTCTGGAAAATTGACAATATGTTAGAAACACAACTTCTTCCTGCATCAAATGGGAGGGGTTTAGGGTTCTGAACACCTCCCGGGTCTTGCCCTCCTCCTCCTCCACCTGTGTGTCTCCCCCTTCTTTGAAAGACCCACAGGAGAGCTCTGGGTTCCAGAAGCGAGGAGTGGGAAGTGGGCTTGATACCCCATCAACATTCCCCAGTGACCCTGACCCTGCAGCCTACTTTTGGAAATGACCTTGGAGAAGATGTTGAAGTGCCGCCGAAGGATGCTTTTCGCCTCCACCAGGAAGCAGCTTTGGGTTTCTCAGTGCCTTTCCAGGCCTGGGTGATGTGAAGACCCAACCTGACACCTTTAGCTCTGCAAAGTGGCATTTGAGCAGCTTGTCATCAGGATGCATTTACGGTGGGAGCTGTTTTCCTGGGCTCCCCTTCCTAATCCTTCCTGTGCACAAAAATTGGCAGGTTTCCTAATAATATTGACTAAATATTAACATTTATGTAACTAAATGAATATTTGTATAACTAACTACATAAGTAGTGAATGATTTCTGGCATGTGTTGGCTGCCACACTCTTAAGTTATTGAAGTCAAGAATCTGGCCCATACAAGGCATCTAATGAGGCTGTTTACTGAAAGTGGCAGAGTTCCGTGTTTCTGAAGGTGGCTAAACTGTTTGTGAGCTGAGTGGGGCAGAGTGGTGGAAGGAGGGGCCTCTGTGGGAGGGGACTGGACCGTGAATTGCTCCCACGAGTGACTTGTTGGCAGAGAAGGCACTCGGAGCACCGACAGCTTTGATGGCTTTCCTGGGGGTGGGGGCAGGGTCTACCCCTCTGCTGGGTCATGATGATCTCATTTTTCTAGCCTTTTAGAGTGGGCTGGGAAAATAGCCTTTCACCTTCAGTGAGTCACAGGGAAACCAGGAAAGGAGTTTAGAGAGCAGGATGATTAATCTGTCTCCTTTTGGGCCTCCTAGTGAATCCAAGGGGCACATTTGTGAGGCTCCAAGAGCAGCCACACTTTGTTGGTCCCTGGACAGAACTGGTGGCAAAGCAGATACCTTTGAGAAAGGTGAAAAAGAAGCAGGACAAGGAGACTGTCTTCCCCCTGACCACCATGCAAGCCGCTAACCAGTGCCCCCAGTCAGACTGAGCTCAGCTGCAAAATGGTTGGCTGATGCTTGGCTAAACCCCCTTCTTGGTTGAAGCCCCCCTTCCCTGGTAGCCACAGGGGACTGGATTTTCCCAGGAAGGAAGGGAGGCTGGATTCCAGCATGGCTGAAGGCTCCTTATCTGGCCTCACCAGGGGTCTTGGGGCAGAGCCAAGCTGCCTTCAGCGTGAGACTGGGCATGGCAGTGACTCAGGGGGGTGGCACGCTGGAAGGGGAGAAGGAGCTGGTGTCGTCAGCTGTTGTTAAGAAAGAACAGAGGAGCCTGGGAGGAAACTCTAGGCCTGTGAGGACCAGAGGGTAGGTTGCCTAGCAACAGTGCCTCCCAGGCGTCTGGGGCCTCTTGTCAGCTCCTACCTCCTTATTTTCTCCTTCAAAGCTGCCTTTCATATGCCTTTTAGCCAAATTTCCTCTGGTTAGAAATGCTCCTGAGGGTGTGGGACATGGGTCAGGGGAAGCCGGCGCACATTCTGCTCTGGACCAAGGAACATTTTAGAGAGTTTTTGGTCTGGATTGTTCTTCCTGAGAGGAGGACAGTGATGGTTCAGAACTCAGATGCTGGAGCCAGGTCTAAGCTCCGATTCCAGAACCAATGCTTACAGATAGGTCCTCTTCGGGAATTTCTTAACCTCTCAGTATTTTTTAGTTTTTCCACCTATAAAATAGGGAGAATAACCAGTACCTACCTCAATTGAGCCAATGTGAGGATGTAGAGTGGATAGATAGGTAAGTAGATAGATAAATGGAAGGAAAAGAGGAAAAAATAGATGGATAGAAAATAGATAGAAAACAGAAAGGAAAGAAGGGGAAATAGGGTACAAATGAACTTACCTACAAAACAGAAGTAGAGTTATAGATCTATAAAACAAATTTATGGTTACCAAAGGGTAAGGGGGGATAAATTGTGAGATTGAGATCTATATATAAAATAGATAATTAATAAGAACCCACTGTGAAGGGAACTCTATACTCTGTAGTGGTGTATATGGGGAAAAAAATCTAAAAAAGAGTGAAGAATATATATATATAACTGATTCACCTTGCGGTACACTTGAACCTAGCACAACATTGTAAATAAGCTCTACTCCAATAAAAATTAAAAAATAATAAAAAGCCAAGATTGGAATAAAAAGAAAGAAGACTGGATAGATAGAAAATAAATAGCTAGGAAAGAAGGAAAAATAAATAGGAAATAAATATGTTTTTAAAAAGAAGAGGGAATTCTCTGGCAGTCTAGTGGTTAGGACTTGGCACTTTCACTGCCAGGGCATGGGGTCCGTCCTTGGTCAGGGAACTAACATCTCACAAGTTGCATGACATGGCCAAAATAACACAGAAGGAAAGATAGAAGACAGAAGAAAAGATCGATATGAAGAAATGAAGATAGACAGGAAGGAAAGAAGGTAAAATAGATGGATAGAAGATAGATGGATAGGTGACTGGATGAATGGATAGATGGATAGATAGAAAGGAAAGACGGAAGAATAGAAAATACATAGGTTAAAAAAAAGAAGGGAAAATAGATGACAGAAGGGGAAAATAGATACAAAAAAGGAAAAATAGATGGATCCATTGATTGATCTTTAGACAGACAGATCAACTTAGAATAGTTTCTGGTACATAGTCTGTGGACATGTCAGTTATTAACAGACCTAGGGGATAGCCAGACACAAAAGCTCAGGAGCCTCAGAGTTCTAGTTTCATAATAGTGTTAGATCTGGTTCTAATAATGGCTTTCTGTGGAGTCTTGAGCAAATAGTAGCTTTCCTTTTCTGCTTTCAGACTCTCCACCTGTGAGATCAGAAGACTGGATTGAAAGGGCCTGAATATATCTTATGACATTGGGATATGGATTGGGCCCTGAGCCAATCTGTTGTCATATTTTGGAGGGAATTAGAAAACATGATGGCTGGAGGAGCTTCCAGTAGAACTCCAGAGGGAAGGTTTGGGGAGCTGTAGGGGATCAGTCACTCCTCACAGCCTCTGATAGGGGAGTGACTAGGCCAGAATTGGGGAGGCATCAGGCAGCCCTGCTCACAGCTATATTTCCTGGTATTTACCTCTGGTAGCCGCTCTAGGGATTATAATATATATACCTATCTTTCACATTCTGTTTGGATTTAATCTTTGACCACTTATAGTAGAATGTAGAGAACTTACAACTGTATATGTCCCTTAACCCTTCCCCCTTTGCATTATATACATGTTGTATATATTATACTTACATATATAAGAACCACCCAACCATGTTATAATTTTGGTCTTCCATGGTCTTACACATTTTAAAATACAAGAGGAGAAAAGTAATTTATTATATTTACTCAGATGTTTACCATTTCTGTTGCTCTTCCTTTATTTCCAAAGTTCTAATTTTTTCTCTCAGATCCTTGAAGAATTTCTTTAACGTGTATTTTAGTGGAGGTCTGTTGGCAATGAAGCCTCTTAGTTTTCTTTCATTTGAGACTGTCTCTATTTCACCATCATACTTCCAGGATGTTTTCATGAGATGTGAATTCTCAGTTGACCGCTTTTTTCTTTCTGGCCTCCATGGTTGCTATGAGAAACCCACAGTCACCCACATTTTTATTCTACTTTTAGTCTGCCATTTTTCTCTGGCTGCTTTTAAGATTGCTCTGTTTCCTCTGGTTTTCACAGTTTGATGATGATGATTTCATTTGAATGTATCCTGTTTAATGTTCTCTGAGTGTCTTTGAATCTGTACATTTCTGTCTTTCACTGAAATTGGGATTTGTTGGTAATTACTTCTTCAAAATTTTGTTTTCTGGGCTAGTATCTGTCTCCTCTCCTCATAAGCTCCAACCACACATACATTAGACCTTTTTATATTGCCCCACAGGTCTCTGTTCACTTTCTTTTTTTCCTTTGACTTTCTAATTTATTTATCATCCTCCACTGTTCTGGGTGCACATTGGTAACTGACACTGGTTTAGAGATTGACAATTATGTAAACTTTGATATGCATGAATTTACACAAAACTATATTTGCCAAAGCATGAAAAAAGGGTGGCCACCATTTAGAAAGATGATATATGCACATAGCCTTTTAAAGAATATGACATTATAAACAACTCCTCATATAAAAGATAGATTAATCATTGTTTTGTTGCACTTGCTTTCTTTAGTCCATCCTCTCTTATATTTGCTAAAACACTTTAAACATTCATAAAACCTATCGTGTTTTCTTCTTGACTGTAATTATTAATAAAATCAACAATACATTTTTGAGTCATCTAATATCCAATCCGTATTCAAATACCTGATATTGGGAAAATGTCATTTTACAACTTTTTTTGGTAGAAATCACATCCAAAACAATGTCACTGTTGCATGTGATTATTATTTTTAAATCCTTTTTAATCTCCAAGGCTCTGTTCATTTTTTCAACAGATTTTTTCTGTTTTTTCGATTAGATAGTTTCTATTTATCTATCCTCAAGTTAATGGACATTCTCTTTCTGTCATCTCTAATTTTTTTTTGAAGATGGATTTCAATTATTTGAATCTCTCTAGTGAATTTTTTTTCTTTTGGATAATGTATTTTCATTTTAAATTCCATTTTATTCTCTTGTTATGATTTGTGTTTCCCTGTTGAGAACTTCCCATTCATTTCAGGAATGTTCAGTGTTTCCTCATTTAATGCTTTAAAGTCTTCATCTGACAATTCCAACATCTGGGTCGTGTTAGGGTTGGCATCTGTTGATTGTCTCTTTCCCTTTGAGAATGGTCAGATTTTCGTGGTTCTTGGTGTGTTGGATAATTTTGGATGATATTTAGGAGAGTTTGCATATTTAGTCATGAGATTCTGGGCCCTGTTAAAGTCCTCCAGGGAAACGTGGAGCTTTATGTTTTAGCCGGCAATCACACCAATTAGATTACACTGCAAGTTTTTCCTGAGGGTGTTGGTTCCAGGGCTCGCATTGTTTTCAAAGCCTTTGCTGTGCTGTTGGAGACTGCCTTTTGTCTATATCCCTTAGGGGTAGTTGAGGGCTGAGCACTGACTTCTGTGGCTTACTTCCCAAAGCCTTTGCTATGCTTCTTGGGCTGCGTTCTACACGTGCATGCTCAGTACGTACAGGATTTGTGTCAGCTCACATATAGGAATGTATTACCCCTACCTAGCTTCCATTTATGCTAACATCTTATATAACCATGGTACATTAGTTAAAAAATCAACATTGATATGATACTGTTAACTAAACTACAGACTTTATAATTTCCTCAGCTTTTCCATTAATGTCTTTTTTTCTGTTCCAAGATCCAATCCAAGATGTTTAGTTGTTAAGTCATGTCTGACTCTGCAGTCCCATGGATTGTAGTCTGCCAGGTTCATCTGTCCATGAGATTTCCCAGCTAAGAATACTGGAGTGGGTTGCCATTTCCTTCTCCAGGGGATATTCCAGGCCCAGGGATCTAACCCACATCTCCTGCACTGGTAGGCAGGTTCTTTACCACTGAACCACCAGGGAAGACTCTAGTCCAAGGTACCACATTACATTTAGTCATCATATTTTCTTAATCTCCCCCAAACCTTGACAGTTCCTCAGTCTTTCTTTGATTTTCATGACCTTAACACTCTTGAGGAGTAATAGTTAGATGTTTCATAGAATATCCTTCAGTTTGGGTTTATCTGGTATATTCTCATTCATAGGCTAAGGTTACAAATTTTTGGAAAAATATCACAGAAGTATCTTTTCCTCCCTTGTTATCTGTGGGCACATGATGTCAGAGTGTTAACATCACTGGTGATGTTAACCTTGATCCCTTCATTAAGGTCATGTTTGCCAGGTTTCTCCACTGTAATGTTACTATATTTCCCCTTCCATAAATATTTATGAGTCTCTACATCCAGCCCACATCGAAGAGGAAGGGAATTAAGCATCATTTTCTGGAGGGGAGGGAACCAAAGAATTTGTGATGTTAATGATTGAATTTGGGGAGCAATACTTTGAGGCTGTGTTTCCCCTTAAGTTTCTCCCACTAATTTTAGCATTTATCAGTGGATCCTGCTTATAGCAATTATTACTGTGGTGATCAAATGATGATCTGTTTTGCTCATTCCTTCTACATTTATTCATTGTAATTCTTTGCTAAGGAAGACCTATCCTGTTCAGAATGGACTCACAGATATTTATTTTGTTCTATTTTTATTTCATATGTCAGGCTTTATTTGATATAAAAATAAATATAACTAAATTTGTATATGTAATGTTTTGTGCTTACATTATAATCTTATATTATCCTTATATATTTAGTAACTCAATTTGTTCTAGGTTTGGCTATTAAAAGCTTTTTCAGGTTGGTTCCTATATGCCTCCCCCAACCCTCCTCACCCCGTATCCGGGAGAATTAGCTATTTTCCCAAGTAACCTTGGGTTCTTTTATTGAAGAAGGCATTTAGAAACTAAGATCTGGGCACTGGGATGATGTGGCCACTAGGATGTCACTGTTTCCGGCTCTCTCTGGGTACAGAGTTAGGAAGTGCATACATGTTTACCACGTGTGTTCATGGCATTTGTTTCAGATCTGTCTGGAAGAAATCTCCTGTGAGGTGTCACTGTCTACCCTGTTTTGTGGTTGTCTGTGTACACAATGGATATTCCCTACCACCCCATCAGCTCTCAGAGAGCAGAGTTCATGCCCAAGGCAGCTTTATAGCCGCTCTGGTGCTTGGCCCGTGAGAAGAACCTGGTGCATGGTCACTGGTTG